GAACTTATTAATTAAGTAGCATCCAATTAGCTAAATAAATACGTGCTGCCACGCCCCGTTGGCCAAGCGAAATGGCTCGCGGAATCGTTGAAACCATCCACACAATCAATTAAAAACTTAAAAACTCTCGAATTATGAAGAAGTAGGCGCCACACACACGCTTAGAAATTATTAGATATTCTCTGGCAGAATTATTGCAGAGGGAAAATCATCCTCGAGCTCCCCATATTTGCTAAATCAGCAAATGTGTCACCCAAGAAGGGCAAAAAAGTGCACGGGAATTCTGCTTGATGTAGAATGAAACGCATTAATTTGGCTCGTTATGATTATTGCCACGCCAAGACACGCCCCCTCCAGAACGCCCTCTTGTGCGAAGATGGAGGATAAGTATCTGCAGAGAAAAAAATGTTGTGTTATAAATTCACAAAATGCATTTACAGTATGTAATTTTAAATTCCTATTCATTTAAATTTTTATTCACATTTTTGTAGTTCTGTCCAACTTTTAAAACCTGTTCGGTTGATATAATTATGTATTATATGTTATATGTTTTATGATTGTGGCTTTCCCGAATTTTTCACACGACTAAATTGTACTTTCTTTACATTAATAGCCAATGAAATGTTATTTTAACGAGCACCTTCTTATTTAAATAAAGTAATACTAGAAAGTAAAACTATTAATAAAGTTTTTTATGTGTACGCTTCAAGTAGAGCATATGGAAATGCCCTGAGTAATATGTTTGTCTGACTCTGCACAGACCAAACTCTGACCCTCATTCAGAGCCCCTCGAAATCCCCCCTCCGTGAGCCCCTGGCAGCCCCCCTTTTTCGAGGGGGGAACCACCGCCAAAGGCGCACGTTAAGCGAATCGTGCACACGCCCCATGACGATGATTAATTACCTTTTTGGCTGCTCCGTTCGGTGTTGTCTTGAATGTATCTTTGTATCTTGTATCTTGTGCACATTTCACTTATGCACGCCTCACGCTCTCTGCTTCTGGGGCTTTGGGGGGCCGTCCTCCCGAGGGGAGGGACTTTGCTTTTGGGGGTTCGTTTGTCGCTGATGAAGTTGTATTATTTATCGTAAAATGATTTTTCGCACTTTCCGCGTGTCTTCGCTTGTCTTCCACGTTCTTTTTCGCTCAGAAAGGTGCGGAAAAAAGAACGAGGAGTACAAGAATATGAAAATATAACTGTAGAAACGGATGCAATAACTTAAGTGGGGTCTAAATTATTACTAGAGAAAATAAGCAAGTCTTTACTATTTTTAAAGTGTTTTCTGACTTTAAGAAAAAAATATTTATCTAATTTTAAATTCGGAAAATATTCTCTTTTTTTAATTACCCTTTATAAATTTTGTACTTTATCTTTCATTCTACCACAAAAATACAAAATTTACGAACAATAAAAATTACCATAAATTCAAAGACCAATGGTCTATACAGATCTACTATAGATCTACTTTTAACAACCATAACTTCATGGAATAACATAAATATACGACCTCGCCTTGGCAATTTGACTAGTACAGCTCATAACTCTAGATTGCATTATCTTTTGTAGGATCTCTAAATTTAAAAGGCACATGTGTTGCTCACTTTACTCTCAAACTAAAGTGAGGACACATATCAAGTTGCCCTATTTGAAGACTGCAAATCGATTGAGGAACCCTGGAGGAGTTTCTTGGGATGGGGACTGTGGGTATTTCACAGAAATTCGAAACCGCGCAAAGTCAATGAACCAAAACAAACGAAACCAAAAGGGGCCACCACCGCGATGGAAAGGAAAACAAATACAATAGGAAAAGGCAACAAAAAAAAAAAAAATACAAAATGCACAACAATTTGACATCTGTTTCAACAATTTTGTGAAGGGAAAAAGGAGTAAAAAAGTAAGGATGAAAAGGATGTCACGTAGATTGACTTTTGCAGCAGACAAAAGGAGCCCGAAACTTCAACTCCAACTTGGGATCCACTCGAAAAACTCCCACTTCTTCAAAATAACAAAATAAAATTCCCCTGTGTTCGTGTGACAAATGCCAAGGGTTAATGAGATCTTTTTTCCAGTACTTTTTCGGAAATGGAGTTGTGTTAATTATCATCAACGAACGGGAGTTTAAACGCTTCATTAGACAAAACAGTGCAACCGAAAGACAAAGAATACAAAGGGACAAAGTATCTACAGACACAAGGGTGAAAGCGATACCAAAAAGGGAAATGAGTTTAAACATATTTAGTGAAAAATTTGTGGAGAACGAAAATATCAAATTACCAAAACCGGGAGTTGCCTTCTAGTCTTAACGGGAATGCTTTTTTTTAGAGCAGAAGGGTCACGAAAAGCTGAAAAAAAATGGGCATTCAATTAGTCAGTTTTAACATGGGTGAGAGATTATCTAAAAAAATTAGAAAAAAATTCAGATAAAACTGATTTTGTTCTAGGAAATGTTGGGATAAGATATGATTTTGTTTATAAGGATTTATTGATTTATTATTCTAGTATGTATTTTATAACATTTCAAAAAATGTAACAATGTGTTTACTTTTTAGTTTTTTCCCCTTCAGCATTTCCCAGAAATCCTTCGCTTAATGATCTTTATTGCGCAGACTTTCAAAATATTTAATTATGGCATTTCTCAAGAAATAATCATTAATATGCATTGTGTATTGAAAAATGATTTTTCTGCATGCTTCGCAGCAAAGTGATGTTTAAGTCGCTAATTGTGAAAGCCCCCAACATATTAACCCTTGGTATGCATTTCCTAAAATTATGGAACTTATTCATTTATATTAATTATATGGAGCCAAAGGCGAAGAAAAAGAAGAGCAGACAAACAAGTTCAATGGGGCTTCAAGGTTTGTCTTTTGGCATGTGAAATGATTGATGGATTGAAACTCGATTGTCTTCACATGAGTCATTCAAAAATGAGAAGCTTATAGGAAATATCACTTGCTACAGTGACTCACTTCAGGGTATAATCGAAATTCGAATCGTGATCATAAAAATGCAATTGACAGAGAAAAGGGCGGAAAACAGCTGGAAAATTCGGGGGTTGAAGGTCATGCTCAGTCTTCTTCTTCTTTTATTGCTTCGAAAACAAAAGCCTAAAAGGGAAAACCGCTGGAGTAGCGCCCCATAAACCATAAAAATGCATAATCTACGACCACTTGACACGCATTAAACAAAAACAAAACAAAATTCTGGCGGCGGCTTCTTAACATTTACGCTTTATGAACATTCCGACTCTTATTAAAATATTTTTTAGACTACAGAGATGAGAGATCACATTGAGCGATCGGCGGTTTCATAATTTCAGATAAGAAGAACAATTCTCAAAGCCTTTCCCAAAAAAAAAACTAAAGTGAAACCGAAACTCATGTAGTTTTTTCATGAATTTATATACGGCTTCCGTCACACGACTAACTTAAATCATAAAAAGTACAACAAAGAAAAGTTTTTTCGTTCCGCCAAAAGTAACAGTCACAAAAAATAGGAAGCAATGAAAAAAGTGGAAGGGTTTCATTGTCAAAATCACGTGCGTGCTGGGATATTTTTTCCCCAACTGGACTTGTAAATTTATTTGTCATATACAGCCGTCGTTCTTGTTATGCAGCTTTTCATTGACTGCCCTATGTTTTTCCGAGGAAATTACAGCTTTGTCATCAAATTCGGACTCAGAACATAACAATTCTGGCAGTAAAAAGAAAACAATAAAATTGGCGGAAATATTCGCAAAAGTGAATGAGTAATATAAAAGATTAATATAATCAGCCGCATACGAAATTAGGCTAAATTTATTCATAAAGTATAAAAATTAATCGTCAAAAAAATAAGTGCAAGCTAGTTACAAAAAAAACATTAATTTGATAAGTTTTATTTGATTTATTATTTGATTAAGATTATTAAAATGGCAAGTCAATGAAGCCATTTAAGTAAATATTTATTGATTGTAGCTCTTTCTAGTTTTCTAGTAAATGCATAACGTAAATGAGAGTATATCCTCTTTTTATAAGTTTAAAACCATTTATCAAATGAATTTTTTGTTTAATTCCCGGTCACACGTGAAATTATTGTAAATAACTCCTGATAGTCAGTATTTTTTAAACCTGAAGTAAGAATAAAAGAGAATAAAGCAGGAGTTCACATTCACCTGGTCGTTCATCCAAACAACATCCATCAGTCAGAATAATTTTGGGTCTGCGCAAAGGACGCGTCATGATTAAAGGATGTTTATTAAATATTCATATAAATGTCAATTTAAAGCTCCTGATACGTCGCTTTCTCTTTCTGTCCCATTACACCTTCTCACTCTTTCTCATTGATTGGTTATAGACCAGTTGAGTGTCAATGTTGGCGGCTTTTTTGTTGTCTGGGCTCCGTTCTGCATTATTATTGATATAGCCCATGAATCCCCAATTGAAAGGCTTCCCTTTCTTTGCTTTTTGAACTTTGCCGCCCTTAGGAACAAAAGGGTGGCTAAAAAAACAGGGGGTTTTTGGGACATAAATTACAATAGATTTATTACAAACAATGCATGAAATGCATTCAAATAGAATAAAATGGGCTTTGTTGGGCTTAAAGGTTTTTTCTGGTCTGCAGATAAAACCACGTTAGTAGAACTTTAATTAATCTAAAATGTTATTGGTCGAATTTAAAACAAAAATGAAATAAAAATAAAGGTTTATACTCTTATTCCATACCTTTTAAAAAGGCTAAGAGCTTAATACAAAAAACTAACACAATATGCATAATATGTATTTGAACAGACCAAAAATTTTTGCATGGTAAGTTTTAACCTCATCCCTAAATCATCGATAGAATTTTAATGGAAATCTTAAGAGGATTTCCTCATAGGATATAGGACTTTTTTCGGGGCCTCGACAACCCTGTCTTACCGATTCGATTGCTTGTTGACAGCAGTCGAAATAATTTTACAGCTTGCTCGTTTGTAACTTTGACTTTACTCTGAAAAAGTCAAGGAAAATTGTAGATACGAGGGGAAATGTCGCGGAACCGCAGCAACCTGAGTAGCCAAAATAAATCAATTGATTGTGATGATGAGGTGGAAGAAGAATCTGCTACAACAAATCGACGAACTAAGAGTGGATCACTGGAATCGAGGTCGCCACCTGAGAACTGTGACTTTGTGGAGTTTTTGGATATGCAGGAAGATTCGCAGGACCTGAATTTGTGGCAGGAAAATGCCGAAAGCTCCGTCCAGGAGAAAAGCCCCCTTCACAGGGTAGTTAAACCAAATACCACTTATAAACCCCACATCAATCCGGAGGCAGTTGAGAATCATCGAAGGATCTACCGCCAATTGGGTATTCATGTTCCAGAATCTCAACCAGATCATCCTTTAAGTTGTTACAGCTTCATTGTGAAACTTTTCCTAGCCACTTCTTTGGATTCTGTGGATTTTCTTAAATGGTCCGCTGATGGTTGTGAATTGGAGATGGATTATCAGGGTTTGGAGAGCCACTTGACCAGTGGTTGCTCTATTTTCCAGTGTCGAAACACATTGCAATTTACAGGCTTCCTTTTGGCCCACGAATTCGAACGGGTTTTGTACCGTGAGGATACTAAATCCATCCTGTTGATCTATCGGCATCCAAATTTCTCTAAAGACGAGCCTGCAAAGTTGCAATTGCTGGCTGAAAAAAGCCGTGACTTTGAGGAGGAATTCGATGAGAAACCGGAGGATCCACGATTTCCACCACTGAATATGCCAAATGCTGCTCATACCGACAGGATGATTCACCGAGGAGATCTCTGTTCAATTTCTTACACATGCCGTTCTCCTTTGCAAGTAGCTCGATGTCGATTCCAAACCCTGCTGGGTTATCAAGCCGATTTGGCGGTTCTCAAGGAGCGCAATAGTCTTGATGTATTCAACAAACAAAAAAGGGGTCGCAGTGCCATAAATAATACTCTAATCGATACAATTCCAGGTAAAGGATCCTCGACGAAATACGTAAAGCCACACGAGTCGGTTATAACTATTGGAATTGGTCAAGCGCCTGACTATGCCGGTTATTATGGGAGAGTAGAGCTCTCTAAAGTCAACGATTTCTTTTCGGAATACCTGCCACGATATGGCAGTAAAATCACAGGCTATAAAGATATAGTTATGGATGCCACCAACAAATCTATTGGCTTTCAACAGAATCTACCTATTGGAATGGACTATTCCGATGATGAAGACGATGCTCTACCACCAATTTCTTTGGGACTTGAAATGGATTTTACGCCATCCACATCAGCAGCGGCAAAGGTAAAGACTTCCAGCCGAAAGCCAGTTGAGGATTCGGATTTGGAGCAGGCCATGCAGGAATTATGTGAGGGTTCGCACTTCAATCAAGACGACGATGTTCCACAATCCAGCAGCGGCATTAGGCCAAAACCAAAACCCAAACCAAAGGCAAAGGCCAAGCCCGCAAAACGTTTGGCTAAATTCCTGGAGTCGAGTTCGAGTGAGAACGAAGATTCTAAGGAGGTTGAGGAAAAGAAACACGTTAAGCCAAAGAAAATAAAAATGGATGCGGTGGAAGATGACATCTCCTATACTGTAGAAATCGAATTGGATTCCGAGATGCCAGAAATCGATGAAAGGACAGTCAAAAAGGCGAAGGACCAGCAATACGATGAAGAGGATGATGATTCAGAGGACGACGAGGATTTAGATGAGGAAGACGATGACGATTATATTGACAAAAATGTGCAGTACCGAAATGCCACGGAACCTCCAAAAAGGCGACGATATGATCTGCGAAACTCTAAGCGAAGTCCACCTTAAAGTGGTCAACCATACATCTTAACCTCTAACACAACTAGAAACAAAAATATTTAGATCAATTATATAAAGCTGATAATGGAAATATCATAGGTGATAGAAAAGCTGGTCTTTTCTCACTTCGATTAAACTTCGATTACTCAACTTTACAATGGTTTCTTTTTGGGTAAATTGTTTTAATTAATTTTATTCCTTAAATAAGCGTATAGTTTATATTTTACATTCTTTCTCTTTATTCTTCAAGACTTCAATCTTTGAATAGTTTTTTTTATTGTGATCTTCAGGTCGCTTCTTTTCTTGACCATTCACCTCAACCATATCTTTTGTTTATTCAACTTGAAAGCCATTCCTTTAACCATTTCCATTCTGCATATCTAAACCTTCCATTATAATAACTTTTGTTGGCCCCTTTGAAAGGCAATAAGTTTGGACATATGGGCAATTAAATCGCTTATCGCCCTTTGATCTCTCACGCCCTCAGTGCCCCATTACCGAGGCCAATCAAAAGTGTAATATCATCTGGAAATATCTTACCAATTCGAACAGAGAACCGGCACCCACACGGACTCAAAAACACAAAAAATGAAAAAAAAAAAAAAAAAAAAGAACAGGAAAATACAGAAAAAAGCCAGACAGGGGCACAATCAGTCGGATGTTTACAAGTTTTATGAGCCACCAAATAACAAGATGAACAACAGGCAACCGAAAACGAAACCAGAACCAAAAGCGAAACTTAAACGATACTTGATTTCGAAGGGATTTGGTTTGGCGGTTCAAACCGTATTTGCAAAAGGCGCAAAAGCGTTTTTTTTTTTTGCTTATTTTGGATATAACTCAGCGTGAGCCGAGACACGATTTTTATCGTCTTTAATTTGCTTTTTATTTGATATCATATTTCAAGACAGGCGGACAGCAAGGCGAAGCTGTTCAGGTTCACTCCCAGAACTTTGAGGCAACGAAAACAAAACCCGGTATCCTCTGGTTGGATTCACTCCTCCCGCCGAAAAAACACCAAACAGATTTTTCGGTTGGCAAAAAGGGAACCTTGAGTCAAGACGTCATAATGTCATAAAAATGTCACATACTTTTAATAACTTTATGACAGCTACAAAATCATAAACAAAATGCTCTGACAGCAGCACACGAAATGAGAGAAGCCGAGGGATTCTGCGGTTGAGTTCTTTTGGGAGTCGTCATAATGAGATGTGTCATGTTTTGCCTTCTGAGAAATGTTTCTTGTTCTCCATTTCGGTGGCTTTTGCCAAGATTGCCCATCGAGAAGCTAGTTGGGTGGGAGAATAAGCCCCGTTGACCAAGATGCCTGGCCCCCAAGAGTCTTAATTATAAACATGACAGCCTGATTATAAAATTTGATGTTTAAATGATTATCTGAACAGAGGGGTTATTCGATACGAGTGTTTGCTTGGAGTGAGTTTTCGAAAATATCTCCATAAAGTATTTGGTTAAGTGTTAATCGTGTTATTATACCCTTGCAGATTTTCTAAGTTGTATTCCAACCATAGGAAAGATCGTAAAATTCATACAAAATCAATGACACGAAATTGTAGCGTCGTTGTTTTTTAACGAACAAGCATGAATTTTGGAGTATGCCAAATCTATATCTTTTCTAATTTTTATTTTAATTCTCAAATAAACTATATCAGCAGATTTTTTTTTCCGTTTTTTTTTTTTAAATTTTTATGCTTTAACCCCTTATTAAATTTAAAACAAATGGGTTTGTAAAAAATTGTCAAAAATTCACTAATTCTTACTATATATAAGTGCAGAAAAACCTGAAAAATGGAGGATCTAAAAATAGAGAGCTTGTATTTTATTAAACATATTTGTAACTTGTTTGTGTTAAATTTGAAATAGTTTCTTTTCATCCTGTTACGCACCCAATTGTTATAAACCATACTCATACTCAGAAACACAGCTCTTGGCCCAAAGTCCGCAATCTCAGCTTTAGTTTCACCACATAAATTCGCTTTGCCACAAAGCGCGCAAGAATTAAATTATGGAACCAGGAATAAAGTCGGGACTTTTGCTGCATTTTAATGAAGACGATGGTGGGGAAAAGGGGCCACTCACTTTTGAGGGGAACGAAATTCCGTCCGAATGCAGAGTTATTAAATGCCAAGTTATTTGTCGTTTAGCTGGAAATCCATGCAGGTCGGCAGTACTTTAACTTCTGAGACACACAAACTTTTTTCGAGACTGCTTTATGGGTTTGAGTAGGAAATCTTTACGAGCTTGTGCTGGTGAGACAAATTTATTGGCAAGGCATTAATGTTTTCTTTACTGTTCGTATGCCTCTCTCCTCTTTATTTTTCTCGTTTTTTGTCTGCCTTTAATATGAAGTCGTAAAGATTTTTAATGATCCAAAGCGATGGTAAAACTATTTACATATGTATCTTTATGCTTTATGGGGGCCAACACGAAAAGATCTCTCCTTTAAGCTTAGCAATTTGTCTTCCATTGGGAAAATGCCGAAGGAAACGAGGTGTTGAGTTTGGCCTATACGGTTTTAAAGAAAGGAAAGCGGGATCATAAATAGATAGCAAATTACTGGTTTTTATGACATGCAACTTGAAAAACTATTTTCCTATATTACCATTTTTGATTGGGCATATCAAAGATTAAATTAATTTTCAGCAATGAAGTTGATTTTGAATTTAAAAATAGCTTATATCTCATACTTCCTTACAGAGAATTTAATTTAAAATCAAAACTTTATTTCCTCCGAAATAAACTTTAACTCTCGATTACCAACAAATCGAAACTCAATTTACCAGTTTCCCCGAGTAAATAATTTGTTGTACATTTGTTAAAACTTTTCGCTTATCTATATGCCTTTTCCGAATCCAACTTTATAAAATAGCTATACACGAATTGTAAAACTAGCCGCAAACGGCAGGGAAACTTGCTCCTGCGAGTTTGGCGTGTCCTTGGGCTTTCTTTCCATTTTTGCGAGCAGGTAAAGGTAGAGAGTTATTTTATGATTGCACAAATGCAAAATGCATAACAATCACAATTGCACAAAATATTTCGCTGGCAAATTGGGATTTATATGTACGAGATATGGCCTCGTTCCATCTGCTTGGCAAACTTCTCTCCAAAGAGGTAAATGCACCGAAGTAGCTTACCTTCAAGTGTTGTAACCCAGTTCCGAATTGCTTTTTTATTTGCCAATGGCTACAGTTAAGGATGTGGTTATGGATATGGCTGTGCTCCCCGGGGGATGAGTAGAGCGAATACCAAGTAGTTTATGCAACATTTACTAAAATTTACCCAAAAAGTTAGCGCAAACTTTTGATCGATGTGCTGTGGATGGCTTTGCAATTATGTGTGCACTTTGGAAAAATGTATTTGTTTATTAAATATTTATTTTTGAGCTAAAGAGAATGAAGAAAGTCAACAGTATAAAAAAGAAACATATTTTTTTAAATCTGTCCAATATAACAGTTTTTAAAAAACTATTATTTTTAAAGTTTATAGATATTTCGAAGGTTTCTTTAAAAACTGAAAGCTTGTCAAACAAGAATACTTCTTAATTGTTCACTATTACCAAAGTAATTTTTACAAAATTTTTAACTGATTTCTTTTGAAATATTTTCCATAAATTTACTCTTAGTAATCCTCTTCTGGATAAGGCATGCAATGACAGGCACCTGGAGTATTAGATCCCAGCCAGCGCAGATATTGATTGACCCTTGTATAAACTCCCGGGGATTGAGGTCTGGCACATCCGACTCCCCAGGAAACAATTCCAGCCAGCTGATATTGACCCGGCTGCTCATCGAAGGTCGTTTGGAGTGGACCACCACTATCGCCACCACAAGCGTCCTTGCCACCCTCCAAAATATATCCTGCGCACATCATATTATCCGTAATTTGTCCTGGCTTATAGGATGTGGAATTCCGGCAAACAGATTGGGGCAAAACCACTACCTCCACTTCCTGAAACCTATAAATTTTAGAAAATATCTGCAGTTCACCCTTTTCTTACCCTCAAAGTATCGCTGGCAAATCCTCCTTCTTTTCGAGCTCCCCAACCGGCGACTATAGCCAATTCGTGATCAAAACTATATGATTGTATCGGCAAACAAATCGGTCTTAAACGGTGACTTTCCATATCTACTGGTTGATTGAGTCGTAGAATTGCTATATCATTGTCAAAACTACGTGGATTATACAGCTCATGAACTTTTACCCTGGAGACATATCTTTGAACTAGAATATCCTCATCCGTATGACTACGATTGTGTTCGAGAAACCTTACAGAAATTAATTCAGGGGGAACTCCTTCCACACAATGAGCTGCTGTTAAAACATATAGATCATTGATCAGTGATCCCGAGCAATAGAAACGATCAAAGATCAAAATCACTGCTATCCAAGGGTATTGATGAACTCTGGTCTCCTGACCTCCTACAATTTTATATACCGTATTCATTAATCCACAGCGACAAGAAACGCAATCTCTTTCAATTGGAAAGTTTGCCTCTGGAGGTCTTAAAGTTGTAGTGGTTGTTGTTGTTGTGGTTGTTGTTGTTCTTCTGGTTGTAGTTGAAGTTGTACCTATAGTTATAGGCATTCTAGTTGTTGTTGTTACTGGAGGTAAAAGTATCGATCCAAGCCACTCAAAAACATTTCCTTGCGTGGGTCGAATTCTTTTCGTACTCAAACCAAAACACAATCCTAAAAATAAACCGATCAAAATTAAGTGAAGCTTCATCTTTCTTCGACTCTTCACAACTAAACTGGATACTGTAATGATACTGCATTTAAAGCAGAAAATCTGGCTGCTAATCACGTTTTATTCTATCACCCAACTGGCATCGTCTGGCTGGGCAACTTTTCATTTTGGCAACACATTTTCCAGGCTGTCGCACAAATGAATTCATGAAATGTTTGCCAGCAAAGTGTAAATGCCTTGCAGGTTAACTAACAATCAGGGTTTAAAATGACAGGAAGGGGCCATATTTGTTCGGGGTGTTCGGAAGAATCATCCAGGAGGCTGCACTTTTCATTAATGCTTAAATAAAGGGCTTTAATCAGGTTGGAATTCAAATTAAATTGAAACACTCTTGCATTCCAAATCAGCTTAAAAAGTTTGGAACTTTGTTTGGTGTGTTATAATTTGTTTAATTTATCTATATATTGAAATTACTTTTGGAAAATATGGTTAAACAAAGTATTTTACCTTTATTGCTTTATTAATTTGCTTAAATACAAAAACTAAAGTTTTAATTGTATAAAATATTTTATTGTTCTGTTAGTTATATATGTCTTGTATTTATTTTTATATTTGTACCCTTAATCACCACGAAACTTTTTAATTGACAGCTTTAATAATTTTCCTGTCAACTTTTCCTAACTATTTAACCAACATTATGCAAATCAGCCGCCCAATAAGCGTTCCAATCAAGACTTGACACTGCTTACATTGTTGCCATTTCCCGCCAGTCTACGTTTTCCTCCGATTTTCCCGCCACTTGTCATTTGCGTCTGTGTAAGCTGGCACAATAATCTGTAATAGGCTTAGGCATGAAATATTGACGCTTAGTGACCGCTTAGTGGATGCCAAATGACTAAGAAACATCATCTCGATGGAAAAACTCCGGGCCCAAACTCAAAGTGTAATTAGAAGAGCTCTGAAAATTAGTGAAAGCATTTTCATAACAATTTTCGTGTGTGTGAGTGTGTGTGTGTGAGTATGTTTGTGGAAAACTAAGCCGCTTATGGGACTGTGAGCAAAGCTTTTCGACTTTGACTAATTGAATTTGGGGTATATCCATTGGGGCGTAGCTTTAACACTAGCACACGACTTCAATTCCGATCGGCACGCCCACATTTGGGCAGTATGCTTCATGCTTCAACGCCTAAATGGTAACATTTTCCCCCAAGTTACATTTTATTGACTCCAGACTACCGAACTTGATGAGCTCAATTGGAGAGTTTAGCAGTTTAGGAGGGGCACTTTCAGGGGCAGCACCTCAGTAAATTGTCCAATTATAAAACTGCGTAGGCCAGGTAGCCAGTTGAGAAAACCAGAAGGCCAGAAAAACCAGAAGCCAACTCTACGGGGGAAACTCGAGACGCATCCACATGTTTCTGTCACTTTTGATAGTCGCTCCTCTCGCTTAATTGATATTTATGGAAATGGGATTCTGCCGGAAAGTGGAGCACATGTGGGGAGATTTACAAGCCACAACATTGAACTTTGTGGCGACTGCTCATTAGAGAGTGGGAGACTCTCGGCTGCATTCAGACTTGGAAAAACAATGCTGGAAAGCCTGTTTAAACCACTGACCCACAACTGCAGGCAGGAGGAAAAAAGCAAATAAGAAAAGCAACTTGAGAGCAGCTTTTGTCCAAGAAATATATGGCTTAATTGTGGCAAAGTAATAAACATGTCCGGAGTGGTTAAAAAGTTTTGGTTGCCAAGAAGTTTCGCCTGTTGTTTGCGGTCGCAAGCCGCAAAAGAAAACCAATTAAAATGGCAGAAAGGCAAAAGCCAGAAATTAGAAGAAAAAGTAATAACTGAGCAGAGTTTTAGAAGAAAAGATAAACCAACTAGAAGCTTAAACAACTATTGATGAAGATGCTTTTCAACGTTTTTAGCTCAACCGCTAGTAAGAGAAATTGAACCATTTTGGTTAAAGGCATTTGAAATATTTTTACGAAATTAAGTTAATATTGACCGTATTTATACAAAATATACAAAAATCATCAATAATTTAAATAATAATAATTCACGGTCAGTAAGTCATTTTGTGGTAAACAATCAGTAGACAAGGTAAATAAATTCGTTATTTAACACACAATCCTTTCACAATTCAATAATTTAATTGCGAAATAAATTGTTGATTTCTGAGCACAGAGAATTCGTCTTTATCTCAATGAGAACCGAATGTTTGGCATTGCGTAGGCTGATCGGCGTGAACATGATTTAATGGCCAAAACGGCGAAATATTTATGCACACACACAATATCTTGACTTGTGGCAACTACTTAGTTGTCGAACATGAGCTCTTTGCCTGCTATCGTGACAGCATCGGGCTTTAAAATACGGCTTACAAAACAGCAGGCAAAGCAGCCAAAACATTCCAACAACATTCAATCGGCTCCGACGACTTTTAATTAAAACCAACATTTTCACAGGCCGCCGAACAAGCTTATTAACAGTTACCCGACCCGAACTAAAAAAATAAAAATAAATAAAAAAAAGGAGGAAAAAGAAAAAGGAAAACAGCGACTGTCAATTGATAAACAAGTCAACTGTCACTTAGGCCCAACATTGATAGCGACTTTGCGAAGCGGCCAACGTTAATCAGGCAAAGTGTCCAAGTCCGAATGCGAATCCGAATCCAAGGAGTCCTGCCGGAGGACCGGATCCACAAGCCCCCGACTCCTTTTTTTTTCGAAAAACTCCACTTGTTGCTGGCGGCTGATGGCGATAAGCAGCGACACATGTCACAAGATTTTTCTGCTTCTCTGGCTTTTCGTTTTTCCTTATTTTTTGTATTTTAATCAAAAGTGGAAATTAAACGCGGCTAATGAAGATTTTAATTGCGTGCAACGGCGAAACGGAGTTGCATGTGGGTATCGTGTCCGTCTGGCCAGCATTACTCCGATATCTATAAAAATGTATACACACTTACATGCATATATAGAGAGTGCATGCAACACATAAACTTGCAACTTAGGATTTACATGATCAGCGTTTGTTGCAACACGCAATCGATGGGCGAAAGAGAGAGCTCCTAATCAACTTCGGGTAATCCGCTTATGACAGTTCGTAAAGGACAGTGGGCAAAAGTAATAAAAAAAAGGGGAGAAAAAGGGGAATTACAGTGGTGCTAAGGTAAAATGGCAAGTAAAAGTGCCTAAGATTATCAATAAATTTTAAGACCATGGTTCTGCTAGTTGAAAAACTAAATGAATGGACTGAAAATATCAAACTTCTTTCAGGAATATATTTTGATTAAGTATAAAGGTGTAAAATAACTCCGTGGGGTTTGAAAATCTAAAGAAAGATTCCATTTAAAAAAATCGATACTTTAAACAACATTTTTAAGTTGGATATGCATTTGAGGAAATAACATACAGAAGCTACTTTAAAATAATTCTTTCCCGAAAGAAAATGTGCTATTTTTATATATCTTAATGGTTGTCCAGTATCTGCTACATTTCCCCCACTTAACCCTTTACAATCCATTCATTCCATTGATACACATGCTATCAACCAGTTAAAGAGCAATTGATTGCTCAGAAAACAAACCCATCAAAATCCTTTGTTATCCGCCCAATTTACATAGACCACGTTTTCCCCAAACCCGTCGAAACTCCCAATAATTTCCGCCCCAACCGGAAAAACGAGGAGAAAATGTGAAAAATGTCACGCTTCATTTGGTTTAACCGTTCAAACGGACACCTGGCCAAAGGTAACCCTCAAAGGAGATAGAAAGAGATGACAGACAGTAAATGAAAGAGCAATATACACCAGATAGAAGGTATGGAAAAAAGTCAACATGGCACACAAATTCCATGAGAGACGTGAAAACAAATCGAATCGGACAGATCGATTAGGCATACAAATGTGCAATTAGAAGTGGAAAGTTCACTTTGTCCACTCGAGATGGATATGTGTGTCCGTGGCTCCGATATATATATAGACCGTGGATATATGTGGGCTATATAGGTAGCTACCCTTTGCCCAATTAGGCGTTACAAATTGTTAGATAGATGACAGGAATAGGAAAGGGAAGAGGAAGCGGAAGCAAATAGCTAACGAGCCATGTAAAACAGATGACAGCCAGGTTATCTGCATCGCACTTCCACTTCGCTTCGGTCTCAATTAATTGAATTAAATTTTTTGAATAATTTTTTGTAATTTACGCGCCATTCGGTTAACCAACGTCTGACGCTGGCCACAAATTTCAATAATTACCGACCGTTTTTAATTATCCCACAGAGCGAGAAATTCAGCAGAGTGAGGGCGTTTTATTGCCCGAAATAGTTTGAGCAGCATTTAATTATTATTTATGATTGTTTAGCGCGTTTTACCCAAAATTGATTTATGCGGTTTTATCGTGTCTGGTCAAGTTTATTAATTTGTTAAAGCCAGCAGCGATTTGACACAAAGGCCCATTCGCCACCCACTTTACGAAAACATATGTGGGCCTCTGTCATGCAGCCTGCCCATTACAATTACATATTAATTAATAACAATTTTCTTTGGGGCGTTAAACAACGTAAAGCTGTAATTAACAAATATTCGATTGGGTTTCGGAAGTTAAATTTATGAAAGCTTATAGGGGATAAGTGTTGCTTTAGAGTTATCTGTTATTTTATTATTGTCATTTTATTTATTATTATAATATTATATCATTACCGTGAAATGACATATATCTTTTCGTAAAATTACGATTATGCCAGAAAATTTAAAATTATTAAAACCGCACGCAATGAAAAGACTACTTTTGATCCTGCAGAATATCTTTTTATTAAATAATTTTAAAGTATGGATAATATTGATTATTGATTATCATAAACCAAAAAATGTTTAACGCTTTTCTATTTAATGTATAAATTATTCTGCTATGCATATCCGATCTGATTTAAATATCTACTCCTCTCAATTTAGGTTAATTTAACTGGCCAGCCCCAAAAGCAAACATTTCCTGCTTTCGCCGATGCTTTTCTCTTTCCCCCCAGATCATGCCGAACCCC